CCTCAATCTGAGTTGCTTTCCTCCCTACAAACCTTCACTTCAAAGCAAGGAACATAATGTACAATTTTTTAATGGCTCTAGACCCAAGCACTCAGACTCTCTGCTCTGCGCCTTACCTCAGTGTAAACACCTAATCAAGATTGCCTGCGCTTCAACAATAGCAGCCAAATGCAATTTGAGAACCACAAGCCTTTGAAGTCCTCCCTGCAAAGGCCGGTTTTCTAGTCTGGGATAATGACATGCCATGATTGCTGTCTTTGTTGTATCTTTTCAGTACAGAAGCAATTATAGGCCCCAATTTAACAGAATAGACATTACACAGCTTACGATGCTCAAAATGCAATTTCATTTGATCATTTTCTCGATTTGATTGGTATTAATAGAATGGTTCACAAAAAAAAAAAAAAGAAAAAGAAAGAAAGAGAAAAAAATAGCTGGCAGAGGTTGTGTCCCCCTCCACTTTCACAGAGCTAATGTAGAAGTATGTTTTACCTGCCTGGCAAGCTCACGGGAGTGATGCAGCAAGCTTCACCAAAACAGTGTGCACAGAGACACTGTGTGTCCCTTGCGCCCTGGCAAAGGAAGCAGCCATGCTCTGTTAGCAACCTGTAAAGTTTTTGACAGATCTACGTACGTAAGCATAGCTGGCAGCAGGAAATCAGTGTCGCCGATGGTAAACCCCATTACCTGAAGCACAGCCTGTATTCCTCTTTGAGCTTGCAAAAACTGGAGAATCTACATCCCTCTGGTCCTCTCCTGTTCCCCCCCAGAAGTCATGTTAAGCCTCTTTGAGATTAAGAGTATGGTTGCCTGCTCAGACACTAGAGTTGGAATTTTTCCCTCTCCTGACCATTGTTTCTCATCCTGGACAGACCTGGGTTTTTGTTTGTTTGTTTCTTTGTTTGTTTGAAACAAGTTGTGAGTCTGTTTGACATCATGATAATGAGAGATAGCTGGTAGCCAGGCATGGACACCTGTGCCTGGAATCCCGGAGCTCAGGAGGCTGAGGCAGCAGGAGGGAGGCCAGCCTGGGCTACTAAATATAAATAGCAAGACCCCGTCTCAAAAATTAAAAAAGCAAAACCAGAAACCTTTGCAATAATGCCAGTAACTATTGTGAAACCTACTATTTTGTGGTTCAGGGTGTTTCCGGGAGCAGCTGTATGAGGGGAACCCTAATGTAAATTTCAGAAGTGGTTCTCGGCCTTCGTTGAGCCCTCTAAACTTTAGAGTATTTCATGATGGGAGAGGTCTTCCACTTGCAGGGGAGGTCATTCATTCAAAAGCAGATCGATCATTTTCACTTGGAAATCGGCCATACTAAAGAGGGTATATTTTTCTTCCTTGTTTTAGGAATAAAAATTCAAGCAGTTGTTTCATAGTTTCCACTTTGAGATCAAGTTTTTTAAAGTGTATTATCATTGTTGTGCATGACTATGATGAGGGAGCATGGCCACGTGCAGGCCACAGCACACGTGTGGAGGTCAGAGAACTTGGCAGGTCCAGTGCTCACCTTCAGCCTTTCCGTAGCAGTTGCTGGGAGTGCACAGCGGTCACCTCGCCCAGAAAGCCAGCGGTTCTCAGCCTGTAGGCCGCGACCCCTGTGGCAAACCTCTGTGTCCAAAAAACGTACATAACAGTATACATAAATATCCATAACAGTGGCAAAATTACAGTTATGAAGTAGTGACAAAAGTGTTCTGGTTGGGGGTCACCACAACATGAGGAACTGTGCTAAAGGGTCGCAGCACTGTGAGAACCACTGTGTCTAAGCCATCTCACCAGCCCTAGATCAGCTTTCACTTTAAGCTTCCATGTTGTCTGCCTTCCTTTCCTGGTGTGTGTGTGTGTGTGTGTGTGTGTGTGTGTGTGTGTGTGTGTGTG